CACTGCTTCACAGATCAGAAGAAGCTTGTTTTTTTCTTGTCTTACTCTGATCATTGCCTGCCTTTACTTTCCCATATAAGAAGTTCAAATTTGGACTTTCTCCATCCTTTTTGTATCCTGTCTTTTGTGGAAAATGGTAGCAAGCCTCTCTGCCCACTGTGGATAAAAATAGAGCTTTTCACTTTCTTAAAATTGAAAATTGGTTATAATTTCTAATATCAATCTGTCAAATACACAGCTGGTAGAATTCTGCCATTCCTATCCTAGAAAATATTAAAGGAAGTAAAAGTTCTTTTTAAGGGAGATCTAGGCATAGTGAAATATTCTAAGTGCTACCTGAGGGGCTCTCACCAACCAAGTAGGAAACATTTCAGGCTGGAGCACTGCTATTCTAGAATGTGGTCATTGTCACTTCTGGTCACAACAGATGGATCCAGGGAGAAGTTGTGGGTAGGTCTACACGGGGAGTTTGGTGTCCACTGTTGACTGGTTTACAGGTGCATCCTGTTAATGCACTTACATGAGAACTGATAGGACAATTCTTAGGAATCTGATGTTAAGAATGCTTCTATAAATTAATCACTAAATAAAATCTGGTGAAGTGCTAGAGCAGTTGAAGATTATCTTGTGATAAATGCTTTGTTTCTTATATTAAGCCAGGGGTTTTTGATGAATTAAGGAAGTGTTCTTTCAAGAACTATTGCTACAACAGACAGCATGTCTGAAAGAACAAAAGACAAGGTTTACAAAGTGTCAGAAGTCCACTCCAGAATATATCTGTCTCAAAGTGGTGCCTGTATATCAAGACTCAAGTGTACTGAGAAAAAATAGTTCCTGTTCCTGTAAAATAATAAGTAGTGAATCTGATAAACAGCATATGCAGACTTGTACAAACAAACATAAATCAAATAAAAATTTTCATAATGGACAAAATCCCTAAATAGGGATTTCAATTCCATGTCAACATTTCATACAACTATTGAGAAAGAAAGTTTAATGTGTCATCTGATCTTTGGGTTAAATGCTCCTGATATGTATCCACACTTTTCAGGATTTGAAGACTCTCCTTGTCTGGAAGAATGCCTCCCAAAGCCCATATCTGCCCTAAAGCCAGCACAGTCAGAATCAGTTACCACCAACTTGCCAATGAAGCTGCTGTTGCATTTATGTCACAGTGCTGAACCCTGTGGATCTGAAGCTATTTAGATTACAGCTAGAAACTCAAATCAAATTCTGCCACTCCTGTATTAGGACTGTTTTCTTCTACCTTTCAGACTATTTGGGTTACTGCTATCAGCCTTTCTGTATTTTTTAACCATATTCTTTATCAGACTACTGCAATATGGGGGATTGTTCTGACTCACTACAGACAGGTGATTAATGCTTTGAAAAGCATTAACATGAGCAGGACACTAAAAAGTAAATTCCTCCAGCATTGTGCTAGAAAACTCATGCAGGAGATGTTTGCTCTTCCTATCAATATTGGATGAATGTGTCTGTCGAGTCTTTGTTTTGATATTCTTATCTTCCAGCAATTTTACAGGGCTCACTTAAGAAGTGTAATGAAGTGTCATGTCTTGCTAATAACAATAAATATGAGTAAGGAAATTAAAGCCTAGATAAATTTAGTTGGGGTACACTTCGATGGTACTGCTGTCAGCAGCCACACACCCAACCCACAAAGCTGTTTCTTCTCCATGGAAGATTTTTTCATTGGCACAAAAGGTAATACATTTTGTTTAGTTTTGTTGCAAATGACACAAATTCATAGTTCTGTGAACTCACAGAATTAGTACAAACCAGAATTAATGAGGTTCTTTGTGCATGATGGAAATGAAGCTGCTAAGGATTTTGTTATGGAGCAATGTATACTTACTGAATGTTTGCTTTTTCTTTTACAGTATGAACTGGTATAGAATGAATGAATTTACAGTAGACTTTCAAAACTTATTTTAATTTGGGCCAAAATATGATTAGTGAATATTATATATCTGGGGCTTAACTATGAAAAAGCCTGTAAACATTCTGAAGAATGTTCTTATTATCTTTGTTTAGCTGTTTGTTTATGAACTAAAAATAGGAGGAAAAGAATAAACATTTATAGATATACAACCAGGGAAAATGATCAAAGCGGAGAAGAACAAAGAAAATAAGATGAATAAGACCTAACAAGTAGGTCTGGACACATAGCCAAGAGCCATAAAGGACCAGATGGAAGTGACACACAGGGAAACAAAGCAGGGTTAAGACTGGTACAGAAATCCCATGTGAATATATTTATGCTTTTGGCCTTTACACAACTTTATAATTTCAATTAGACATCTATTTCTCTCTTACCATGTTACTGATAAAAGTAGGACATGCCCACCCTTTCACAATTTTAATGTAAAGAAATACTGAAAATAAAAGGTTGGGGGCAGGGATGTACCAGGAGAGCAGTCCAAGGCAAATACCATTATGGAGTTACCCGTAAGCAACCTTTACAACTGCATTATGTATTCTGCTTCCAAGAAGATATAACAAACATTTGACAACTCAGTCTAATATGTAAACACCAAAACTAGACAAGAAAAGCATGAAAATCCAGAATATTTCAAGAGGTATGGCTTACCTAGGTAGAAGCTTGCCAATTAGGGGATGAAGTAAGACCTCTTTTTCTCGTTCTGCCTGTTGCTGCAGCTGTTATGTGAACAGCAGAACTGTAAACAATCTTATCAAGCATAAACTTGCATTTCTTAGTGGTTACAAGGTAAGCTACAACACACACACACCTCCAATTGTGGCAGAGAAAGACATTTTTGGGTAAAATGGTTACTGAAGAGATTATTAAAAGCAAAAGAGTAGCATATGTACAGTACTTTAGGGCATGCTGGAAATAATTCTAAATTGTTTGCATATCCAGTTTTAATATATTCCAGAATTTTGAGTTCTTGTGTATTACCTGAGGCAGTGACCCAGTGCACAGGGTGGCTGCTGGAGACCCTGAGTGCAGCAGAACATGTCTGGCAGACAGTGTTCCAGACATTTGGGAGAACATGAAGCAGGATCGCAAGCCATTCCCCTACAGTAATGAACACAGAGAGGCCATAGGAAATGCTGCCCCATTAGCAGGGCTAGGGAGCATCCTGTGATGTGCAGCAGAAGAGATGCACATTGGTCTCTGTGACTCCTGTACTACAGCAGGTGACAGAGTGGCCCTGCAGGCTGGAGTCTGGCTTCTGTCTACTTCAACTTCAGCAGAATTACCATCATTTTAGAGGAATTGGAAAGTTTAGCTTTGAAGCAATTGCAGCATTTCAGATCTACAAGGGAAACTTGGTCACAGTTAACCTGTACTGAGTCTGTGAGACTGACTTAGGCTTTGAAAATTAACTGCAGTAACTTTGATATCAAGAAAATGGCTAAAAGCTGCCATTCAAGATGCTAGTCTATTTTTTCAAATATTTATAACCTTCAGATCACTCTTAGGCACTGCTTGACAGAACCCTGGGCTTTGACTTATTTGGTCTATGATAAACATCTTTAATACAAAACTACATTTTTGTTTGTTATTAATCTCACTGTGCCAAACTAGAGCAGCGAGCTTTGCTTTGCAATTTCCTGGCTCCTGAAGATACCCTTCCTGCTTTTCAGGTTCATGTTATTAATATAAAGTCCTTATAGCTGAAAGAAATGCAAACAGAAATTTCCTCTTGTCCTTCAATACTAGAATAAACTTTATATTCTTTATAATATTATGAAAATATTTGCCCTACCCAGCTATTTAGAGGTATTGACATTTGAATGATAAAGCACAGTTTTCAAGGAATGCTGCTGACATCATATCCTATGACAAATTCATCATGCATGACCATGAAAACTAGTCAGGGAGTTGTAACTATATAGTAGGTCACACCCAATGTAATGTATTTAACTGTTAGAGTTTGTTTTCTTTTTAAAAGAGGTTGTTCACTTGGCTTCATCCCGCTTTTTAAATTATTTTTTTCTTAATTAAATAAATCTAGAAAAGTCAGCCAGACAAAAGAATTCAAAGTGTCTAAAAAAAACTAAACAAGAAGAGTTTAAGGCCTTTTATCCCCCCAGAATAGCTCAGTTATCTTTGATATAATTTTGTATACTTCACAGCTTGCCTAGAATAAACAGTGCAGTAACAAAAGTTATTGAAAAACAGAGTCCCCAGAGTTCTCCTGTAGCATAGGACAGTGAATGTTCATGGCTGGACAGCCTCTGTGTTTTGTTGCAGCACAGAATGACCCATAACCCGAGGGTGCTGAATAGCTGGATCTCGACCATTTACTAATTTTATTGTTTGTGTAAAAGACAAATCATTCCTCCTAATAAAACAGCAAAATGTGGTTGTTTCTTCCTTGTGCAGTGCTTGGGGCCACATGTTGAACACTACTGGAGTTTTTTTCCTCCAAAGAGAAATTACTACATTGCTTCCTCAGCTTGAATATGGACCTCTAAGCAACATGAGATCCTTTAGAATGCACCTCAAAGAACAGTTCTAGAGATACTTGTCCATTTTTACAGCAGCTATTTGAATCAGAGGATTGAGTCACCTGAATTTTCCATATGAGGGCTCTCACCTAGCAAGACTAAGCTAATCATTAATTTTATGAATTTTGAGTAACCAATAGCTTTTAAACTATTCCATAATGCTGTTTAGGCTCAAATCATAGTCCTAACTTTAGGCACACATATCCTGTATTTAAAAGAGATGGGCTCAAATTGCATGTCAGAAATAAGAAATGCAGTATTAATTAACCAGTGAAAAAGCCAGGTATAAGTCATTTACATTGCATTTCAAAAACATGCTATGACAAAGACATGAATAAATCATACTGCTCCAGGGAATAAGTTAAGTGCTTTAAATCTCATTTCTCTTCCTTCAACTCCTACTTTCCAGTTGCTGAAACAAATGAAATGAGGGTTCTTGGAAAACAGATCCTTTTTGTAAACAACAAGAATCTTATTGAATGGTCTTCATACCCAGATGATCATATTTATTATTACTGTTATTATAAGCACACAAGAGCTCTACTAACAGACAAAATTGTGTCAGCCACAAAGCAAAGAGAGAAAAACACAACCCGTATGACAGATAGCTTAACAATCTAAGACAAGAAACAACAGGCTACAGTGCCAGGGGGGTTCAAGGAAACTGCACAGGTCAGCAAGATAAAGCCTTATTTCAGCTCACTAGCAGCTCAGCTGCTGTTAAATTTTTGGTGAGCACCACTGCAAAGGACATTTGAGGAAAGATTTGAATACAAAGTTATTCCAGTGTTTGCATATTTCTATAAATTTCTTCATGCTGTGGAGTCAGTGTGGAGGCTGGCATGGCATAATGAATTAACACCACAGGCTGGTACTGTGACTGAACAGAAGTTCACTCTCCTAGCAGCATCAACAAGACCAGCATACAGCTACTATTTGGCTATGTCTGCCTGTCTACAACTATTTGTGGAGGTACAGTCTATAAAAAATTGTGTTTCATAACTTGCTGAAATATAAGTCATATTTATATCAGCACCTTTTAAACAGTAAAGAAAAAACCACAAGAAATCACTGATGCTGCATTCCTACCATAATGCCACTTCTTAGCCTGGAAGGTGAACACTGTAAATTTACTTGTATTTTATTTACATAACTTTGCATGACAGGAAGGAGCAGGAGGAAGATATAGTATGAAAAATCCTACAATCTAGGCATTTATGTGGTCATGTGTACATCACCACCTTGGATGGCCACTCATGGAAGGAAAGGCCATTCCCCCTTGGCTTAGTCATGCTCAATACACACCTGGGGTGGACAATGCTGCAGGGCTCAGCAGCTGCCTTCCTTGACTATGGGAAATGTCAGACAACCTTAATAACAGGGTTTGCCATCTGTCTCTCCTCTAACTATGTCATTAATATTATAAGCATCCTAAAGCTGAGGATGAAAGTGTGGAATAGGGCTAGCATTTATCTAGGATGCTATTAATCTGCATATATGTGAAATTTTCTTATGTGAAAGATGGCTGCCTTCATTAAGTCTGAAATTGTTAGATATATTGTGTTGCCTGAAATGTATGCCAATGAAAGGACTAGATTTTAGCTTCATGGCAGAGCCATCACAGCAGCAGTTTGCTGTACCAATTTTCCACAAAAATATACAAGGGGTCAGAACATGCCCTCCCACAAAAAAAACTGCCTACAGAGACTATGGAAAATGAATTCAGTGGTGAATTTCTCCCATTTTTCCCACTGAATTTTGTGAGGGGAATGAGGTTACCTCTCTAGGTTTTGAAGAACTGTCCCAGACTTAGTCTCCAGGAATGCATGCAGAGCCCAAAAAGCCACCATGGTCTAAGATCAGCCACATGGAGCCCACATGCTCCTGTCAGAGCTGATGTTTGCTCGAGGCAATCAGGAACTCCCTCTGTTTGTGACGATGCCACATCTGATCCCTTCCTTCCTGAATATAAATAGTTTCATTCTCAAGAAAAGCCAGTGAGATATTCATCATAATTTCACGTTGCTATTTTTAAAAAATAGATACACAGCTTTGTCATGCACAACTTCCAACAGGAAATATTTTCAGTTTGTGGGAACGTAACTCTTACCGAGTTACAATAGATTATTCATGCCCCATTTTTCATGTTTTATTATGGTTATCCAATTTAATATGGACAATTTAAAATGATCAGTTTTATAATTATGAAGTACTGAAGCAGTTTGATTACAGTCTTTGTTACTTCATTGATTATTAGTAACTGACTAGTGAATTTAAAGGATGTTTCAAATGGCAATGCTTCTTTTTAGCCTGCAGACAGAGTTGTTTCTGTTAATATTTAATAGCTTTTATGGGGGAAAAATTCTATCAGAACAGTTGAGTTTATCCACCTTTTTCATTTTGTTATACCAATGGGACATATAACTTGATTCACAAACATTATACTTTCAATTACTGGCATTTCCTGAACATATAAATACAGAGTTACATTCTTTGGATTCTGTAAATTTATTTTGTCAAATTTCCCAGAGAGAGCTAAAGGTTAAGAACAGTACCCTTCTGTGTGCATTTTCAATGATTTTCATTATATTCTTTCTCCATAATCAGAGGTATAGGCAGGTCCCATGGAATACACACCAAAAGCCTCTCCATAGGGTGACAGAAGCAATTCACATGTCTCATGATCTACCTGCAAAGAGCTATAGGGCTCAGGAAAAAAATGCCACAGCATTGTTGAAGGACACTAGTGACAGTCCACTCAGCTACAGAAGGATACTGACTTTTGTCTCTTCCTCTTCTGTTAAGCAGGAATACTTTTTGCATGCCTTCCCATTCACTTCCTCATTTCCCAATAATGGATTAACATACTTCTTACAATGTTAAAAACCAGTCATTTCTACTGGTAAATGATGAATGTTTCTAAGTGTGGCCTAGCTGCTCATCCCAAGTTTTGGGATAGGCCACCACCTATTTTGTATTTCCATAAAGTTAGCACTGATGATAAGTGGAAGAACCAAATGCTGATCCTAACCTAAATCAGCCAGTCTGCAAATAAATAAAGGCTGACAGGGAGGCAGTGGGAATGCATGCTCTTGTGGAGTCAAATCCCATTTTTTTTAATTTCAAGCCAAGAAACAGCCTTTTCTGATGACACTGAATTTCTCAAGAAGGGCATCAGGTACTTTGCTAGAAGATAATGCCACATATTATTAAGTGCTAACAATTTAGTGTAGTTTTATTAAAATATACAGTGTGTCATTCTTTTGAATGACACATTCATTTCTTTTAAATCCATACTTTACCAATCTGCAGCTTTCTTCCAGCTTATATCCTTCAAAAATAAACATGATTGCTTAACAATAAGTTACAAATAAGAAAATTCACATTCCGGCTCACCCACCTCTTCCTAGTGCATGTCATAGACAAGTATAACATGCACAAGAAACAGAGCTAGAATCACTGTGAAGTCTTCAGAGCCATCCCCTGAAAAATTTAGGAAAGGAACTCAATGTATGGGAAAATTTGGATTTCCATAGTTAATTTCAAATTTTTGACTTTATCCTTTGCTGATGTCAGATATGATGATGTCACAACAGCTGCTGGTGGTAGTGATTGACACCATACAGAAAAAGCTGTGTTCTGCTTTCATTCTAACAATACACACATAATTCCAGTCAAAACACATTTTTCTAATTTAACTGTAGATTTACTATAGCATTACAGAATTATGTACTTGTAAAAACACACATGTGGTGTCTGTACTGTGTAAAGTCTGTATTATTGCAGCTTTCCACATTAAAAATTGGTTTTGGTGACAAAAAATAAGCACACAAAATGTTATACAGAACCCAACCTGTTTAGAAATACAATTACTCAAGCTTTTAAGTAAAGCACAAGATCTCTTTAATATATAGTCCAGAAGCCATTCCATCCTGAAGTAATATTTACCAAGCTGTCTACAGCTGCCAATTACTTCCCTTTGTTTTGGCTAGGCAAGGAAAGATGTACTCCAAACATAAGAAACAGTGTTTTACATGCTTTCTGTATGATGTTTATAGAAATCTTAGTAGTTAATAAAAATTACAAAGAATAAAAAATTAAATTCATCATTCATACTCAAAGTTTAGTTAAGCATTTTATTTCAAAATGTTTGGGGAATTGTATAGATGACAGTTATATGTAACAACTTTTCTAAGATGCTACATACTTAGTTGAGTATTTCCTTCTAAACAGTTGACAGTAGCATCTTCTGAGAATTTGGAGAGGCATTTCTTGGAGATGCAGGGACAGGGGAAAAGAAGAAAAGAGGCCATATCTGAACAACAATCCTTACATGTTTGCAATGTAGACACATTTGTGCTTCTCAATTGCTGCTATGTCATGCTCCAGTTGTTTCAGCTTTAATTCCAGCTCTTCTTTATGCATCTGCTTGTACCTGGTGTCTGTTACTATTGGAAGACCTTGATATGCACGATTTATTTCCTCCCAGTTCTTTTTCAGTGCCTGGTGCCATTACATGAAAAGGAAATATATGAGAAAAAGTAAGAACAATATGTACATAAACCACTTGTTTTTTTCAATTTATATTACATATGCTAAGTGTTACTGCAATGCAAAAATAATAGATAAGTACATGAATAATGTGTAGTCATCTTAATTGGACCAAATCAATTAAATCCTTAAGAGTTATGATACTTGGAACTCCAGTGATATTCAGCAAAATTCAGCAAAGTTTCAGGCCATGTCACCACCAGCTTAATTTTCTGTAATCGAGACTTTGTTCAGACCATGGTTACCAAACTGACACTTTAACTTCTATAAACTACTTTGAAAAAATGCTGAGTAATTGCATTCCCCTTCTAATCTACAATTACAGTAACAACTATCAGCAATATTTTTATCATTTGGACTAAAAACCCCAACTGTCATTGACCCTATCAGCAATAATTTCAATAACTACTGCCTCTCTTGCATGCTGCTGTGCAAACAATTACCTTTCTAGACAGAGTAAACCATATCCTCTATATATAAAGCCTTGAGACTAAAATTCTACATTAAAAAATTAAAAGTGCTATAATCAAAACTTATTCATAAATCTGTTAAGTCAGAGACACAGAGACACCAGAGGTAACACTTTTATCACCAATATACACTAAAAGGAACCAGACAGTGGTAGAAAAATAAATTTACATCTTGTCTTTATATCTTTCTTCCAATTACCGCAACCATTGTTCTTACTTTCTCTCCTCAAAAATATAATCAAAATCTACACATTTTACCCACATGTATGTGAGGATTTAGTAGTGCATCAAATGTCCCCATGAAAACTATATGGGTGAACTTAACAATCACAACTAACAAGGAACTGAAAGAGCAATCAGAAAATAACACACCTCTTGGTGAGAAAACAGTTCTCAAAAATGTTTATGGCTCTCAGTTCTGTCACCTTAGAGGATATCACAATTTATCTTCACAAACAAAGAAGTGAAATTACTCTCTTGGGAACCAAAGTTTTCAGCTCTTCTCCCTAACCAAAACTGGATTCAATTGGCACACTGATTTTATGGCACACTGCGATTTCCAACCTCATGTCCTCCATTATTATTAAACATTTTTCTCACAGTCTGGCTAACTGATGAACATACTGAAGTTAAATTTAGAGGGTTTATTTTTATACATATTTAGCTTTGAAGATTGTTGTTTCTATTTCAGAACTCAAAGGCTCTTGTGCTTAAAAACTTGTCTTTTGTTGACTCTGTAAATTGATTTAGGAAAAAAAATGAACTCTTCTGACAACACTAAGAAAAATCTAATCTTTATTATGAACTAATATTTTAACAATTCGAATCAAAGTATTTATTGCATGGCAATTCATGATTTTTACATATTCATATTAAGCATCTAGGTGTTGTTCATAAAGGTCATTATAACAATCTTCATAAGCTTAAAAACTTTACTGCTACATGTGAAACTTACAGCAACAAGGATATTTACCTACTGTCTGGTAATGATATTTGTTCTTGCTATCCAAGACTGTAAAGTACTTTGGTAGGTTTCATAGTCTACCAGGCATCAGGTACAGTTTACAAATATATAGGCATAAAAATAAATCTCATCTTTTCAAAAACTTTCATTAAAAAGTCATTCATTGTTTCTTTAAACAATTCTTATTTGTGTACATTAGTAAGAACTGGCTTGGAAATAATTGAAAACACTGAATTTTAAAACATTATAGCATGCATTCATAAAAATTGCTCTATCCCTACAAAGTGGAGATCAAAAGCAGATCATGACTCTATAAAAATCTCCTTCACAGCTCCTCCAACAATGTAATTTGCTGACCACTATTCCTACTGCTAGATCACAAACTGAATATCCAGCTCTATATATGGAATTCTAATACATGCTGGATTAGTGAGAAATATGTACTGCATTTATCAACATTCTCTTTTATTATCATAAAATCCCAACCAAAGTAAGCACAATGAAGAGCTCAAAAAATGTTGGCACAAATTACTTCCCTTTATTTTTGTAAGGTCATGAGGCTTGCTTTTGGTCTCAGGCAGCTATTGCCACGTATTCTTTCAAATCAGACAGTGCACATGTGCTCACTAGCAATGTCAATTATTTTAAAGGACACAAGTTCCCATATGTCTACAGCTGAGCACTGGGTAGAAGCCACATACCCTAGGGACACTAATTCCTCCTGACAATATAAATGCATAAGTAAGCCCATGGAAAGGTAAATGTTTTTGAAAAAAAAATAAAAATAGTGAGTTAACAAAAACAATCTAAAAAATTTAAAAATGAAAATAATATTCCAATGCATTCCTCTGTTTGAAAAATATAGAATATCATTGTAATCAAACTAAATGCAGAATGGTGAACAGTTGAACTCACATGCCTTTTTTGCACATATATTTTTGCTGCATTGTTAACTTGTTGGACCATCAGCTTGTCCTATGCCTTCCTCACCTTAAAAATATGTTTTGTTCTTTCTATTGCTGTCAGTGCAATGCCCTCACCTCTCTCCCATACTCATTCCTAGCTTCTACTGCTTGTTGTATATGCAAAGGCCACTGTGCTGGACATTTCAGACATTGCCAATTAACCAGTTTGCCTTTCAGACAGGCAAGTTAGACATTGTTTTCTCTCTAGATATTTTTTTGTGGGCATTCAGCATCTTTGAGCTGTCCATCTATCTATTAATTTGTTTCAGGTGGATGCTAAGATCAAGTTATTAAGGGACAGACTGATATACAGACATCACAGACATGTAAGCTTCATTTTCATAGGAAATTTGTCTAAAAAGTGGTCAAGAAAAATTCCAGTTCTAGGTCAGATACTGGATATCTGTTTTATGCTCAACTTCTTTTATAGTATTAATTCTCTTTTAAAAGTCTTGTGCAGTAAAAACTTTATGAAAGACAGTATACAGAACAACTCAACAAAATACAAAATTTTCAGTCAGTTCTATGACTATACTGCAGTTTAATTCTCGGGTTTTTTGCCACATTTTAAAGCAAGTCACTATGCTTTAATCAGCGAGGTCACAATGTGAAGATAGAAACTGCTAGTAAAAGAAGCAATATTCTGCATTAGGAAAAAAAATTCTCCATTAATAAGTGTCACTAAAACCATATTGGTGATTTTCTGCTCTTTGAAGTTTCACTGAAATTTCAACTCATTAATGTGAATAAGAACCAAACAGAATTGAAAACTATTAAAACTGTAGCTAAATAAGTTCCTTTCAGTTGTATACAACTGTTCTACAGCTCCATCTAGTGAAAAAGTAGCCAACTAATTAATTTCACTTACAAAACGAAAAAAGTATACTTTTATTATTTATATGGACCTACATTACTGCATTTAATATTTTGGACATTATTAATGTCTAAATTAATAATTAAACTAAATCAGAATATGCACCTTCAGAATATCTGTCCTTTCTTCTTCAGATAGTACTTTCATAGCTTTCTTCTTGAGTTGCTCCAAAACATTGGCTTGGTATTCTTCCTCCTCTCTCTTCATTTCTTCATTTCTCTGTATCACATATTTTGGTAAAACACCATAACTCTATAAGGAGAAGAAAGAAATTCCTTATATGTGCTTTTAAGATGGAAACAAAGAGATACCTGTCATCCATCCATTTGCAAAAATAGCTTGAAATGACAATTTGTGCTTCTGAGCACTAAAATCCTAAGTCACCATGTTCTTAAAAGTGTCAAACATGATCATCTTTTTAGCTTGAGAAAAACATATAAATAATTCCCTTCAGTTTATTTTCACAACTTTAGAAGACAACAGAATCCAGAATCCAAAATGTCTATTCATAAGAAGTGATGGCTGAGCAAGGAGTTTGAAACCTGCTCATGACAGTGAGCTATTTTACATTTTCATACAGTGTCAGCTTCTATGATTGGAAACATTCCTTAGAGAATGTCTTTGAAAGGTCTTCCTGTATCCTGGTTTTTGCTGAACATTGCAACATACAAGAACACATAAATGAAAATTGGACTAATTAAGAAGGATAAACTATCCCACACTGATGTGTTTCAGTGAGGAAAAAAATAACTTCTGAATATCCCAGACATTCTTGGGGAAACACACCTATTTTGCCTTAACCTTTGAAAATGAAGCTCCTCTAGCCAAAAGATATCAGAGTCTACCTTCTTTCTACTAAATGCAAAATTATTCACTCATCTTTTAGTGTCAGGTAGCACCATGACTAGTATTGTTTATATACATTTTTAGCCATGGAAAAGTACTGCAAGGGCTTCAGGTTCTTTTTGGCATCTTCTCTGTCATGAGTTTTGTCATCTCTTAATGCTCTGTCATGGGTTACATGTTTAGATAAGATAGGCTCTTGATAGATCTTGTTTTTCTGGGCAAGGGATGGACTGTTCCTGTGGACAGAGGAGGTTCTCCTTAAAATCATGTCAGCTCTCCCAAGGTCTTTGCTTTCCAGAGCTGTCTCCCATGGGTTACCCTCAATAAGCTGCTGTTTGCTCTCCTGAGCAGTCAGTGCCCACCTGGCTCCCTGAACAGGAGGGGTCTGCAACTGCCACATGGTCTGTGCCCCCCAGACTACAGCTGATTATCACACCCCTGAGCAATTCTTCCTGGTTTGTATGTAGCAGAAGAGCATGATCATTGATTGTCTCATGGACCATCTAAGAAAAAAGATGTTGCTGGCATGCTTCAGGAAACTTTTTTGATTGCTTTCATGTCATTGTGTTTGTTATCCTTTCAGCAGCTTTCAAGGAGAGTGAAGTCTTCCATAAGAAGCTGCTTTGTGACCTGAAGATTTCCTCAAGTTGCTTAAAGAGATTTTCATCCAGCTCCTCACCTTTTTGGGTGCTCCATAACAAACACACTTTTGACAGTTGCTGGCCTTTCCTCTGATTCTGACCCACAGGCTCAACCAGCCTGTTACCAATTTCATAGAAGAACTCCATATATTTTAACAGCTCCTTCATTCAAAGGGCAACCCTCCTTCTCTTCTTCCCTGCCTGTCTTTTCTAAGCAGCAAACATTCATTCATCACAGAATTCCATGTCTCCCCATTATACACTCCCTGGGTTCCCAATGCAAGACATATGCCATTGCTTTAAAACAATCATTCTGCAAATTTTTTTGGCTGACAGCATAAGCAAATGAGAACAGAGCAAAGCAAGGCACAAATCTAGTGCCAGTGATTTCTTCTCCATGAATTCAAGAGGTCTAACACAAACAGCCATGATATCTATGCAACAGTGAAACTAAAATAGGCATTATGAATAGTGTTTCCAATATAATTTAATAAAACATACCTTTTTGTTAATGTATTTTGGAAAAAGTCCTGAAGGTTCAAGGAGATATTTATCTCCCTGTCTTGTATCAACACAAAAATGTCGAGGCTTTTTAGGCTCCCCTGTCATAACAGCAAGTGCATTTTTACTTATAAAATTCTTTTTAGTACGAGTAACTGGGTGATATGTCCTGGGTGGCACTGATAATGGGAGCAATTTTTTACCATCCTCTTCTTTTTTTTCTGTGAACAGAACATGTAAACATTCTCAGCAACAAATTTGAAGAGGTTTGCTATTTCATATTATTACACTTTTCCAAAGGGAAAAACTTTGTACAGAATTACATAAAAATAAAACCTAACAGTATCTTCAATGAAAGAACTGCCTGTCAATGAACTGTGAGGTATGTTTGTTTGGCCTAACAGAAGTTTCATAACCTAGGAAATACTATGGTGTTTCAGATGGGTTTTCCTAATTTGTCAATCATTTTCTCTTAACTGAAGCAGTACAGGATTTTTTCAAATGTAATTATAACTACTTTTAGTAGAGGTGCTCACTGTCAGAGCCCTTGGGCAATAACGGTCCTGACCGGTCTCACCTGGGGCATCCAACCCACCCTCTTGGGCTCAGGAAGCCCATTTCACCTGCCAATACCTGGATGAGCTCTCCCAGCCATGTCTGCCCCAGTCCTGCTCCTGAGGAGCTGTATGGAGTCAGTGCAGGGACCCCAGTCCTGCTCCTGATGGGCTGTAAGGAATCAGTGCAGGGACCCCAGCCCTGCTCCTGAGGGGCTGCATGGAGTCAGTGCAGGGACCCCAGTCCTGCTCCTGAGGGGCTGTATGGAGTCAGTGCAGGGACCCCAGCCCTGCTCCTGAGGGGCTGCATGGAGTCAGTGCAGGGACCCCAGTCCTGCTCCTGAGGGGCTGTATGGAGTCAGTGCAAGGACCCCAGCCCTGCTCCTGAGGAGCTGTATGGAGTCAGTGAAGGGACCCCAGTTCTGCTCCTGAGGGGCTGTATGGAGTCAGTGCAGGGACCCCAGCCCTGCTCCTGATGGGCTGTATGGAATCAGTGCAGGGACCCCAGTCCTGCTCCTGATGGGCTGTATGGAATCAGTGCAGGGACCCCAGCCCTGCTCCTGAGGAGCTGTATGGAGTCAGTGCAGGGACCTGGCCTGTAACTCGATTTTGCCAGATGGTCAGTGGGACACACTGACAGGACAGACTTTGCTCCCCACCCTGCTCTGCTGGCCTGCCTGACATGGTGGGACTGCACTCTCTTGCTGAGGTCTTTGCCCAGTGTGCATGGTGGTTGCCCTCAAAGTCTGTCACATGTCTCCTTAGGGAAGAGCCCTGCTCTTGCTGCTCCCTTATCCTTGTAAAAAACTTCTCACAGTCCTTTCTCCAGAGAATGTAGACTCTCTTCCATTTTAGTGTAATCTTTTCTCCAAGGCACCAACAGAAATTCAGTCGTATCCTGAATAGTCTCACTTATAGTAAGCAATTAAGAATAATTATTTCCCATCATATTTCCCAGTAGACATAACTCTAATTCATTATCATTACCAGAAATAATTATTTGATTCAAGTCATCTGAGTTCATGTTCTTCTTTGGCAGTAAATAAGTGTAATGTCACAAGTGAAAAAGCCCATTCCTACAACAGCTGGTCCTGATACTGACCCCACAATAATACAGGTACTGACTCCAACAACAACAGGGGTCCTGATACTGACCCCACAAACCAGTACTTCTGTTTTTACAACCCAATAGCTGCCCAGAACATGGTACTGTAGGACAGGAAGATGTAACTCTCTACTCTAAAAAATACATTACACTGCATATATTTTCTGTCTGCACTTACTTGGTGCTAGCTTGGGCTCCTTGGAACGTTTCTGCAGAAAATCATTTGGAGATGGCACTGCAACTTTTGCTGGCCCCATAGTTTTGCACTGAGATTTATTTTTGTCTGCTTCATGTTTCACAAGTTCTCTAAGTTTGGATAGATACCTTAGAGGTTAAAAAATATCCATAAAGAAGGGTCAGAAAATGTTCTTCAAAGAATATACTTTTTTGCAGTAGCTCATGGCAAAAGCCTAATCTGTTTTGTTTTGTACTCTCTCCCAAATAAATACCATCATTCACACAGCCTCCATGCTAGGCTAAATCTAGTAGGGCACTGACAAATGAGCTTTCTGGTTCTGAAGTTAGCTTGCTTCTTCCTTCTGCTCTTGTGTCTCTGAGGTCAGGATTATCACACTTGGGGAAATAAATACCAAATATGTATGCTGAACACAGACATTCTGAATTCCAACAAAACCTTAATTTTGTAAATAAATTTGAGTATTGCTTGCATGAATTTCTTATGCAATGATGTGATTCTTGGGGTGTCCTGTGCAGGGCCAGGAGTTGGACTCAGTGATCCTAATGGCCCCCTTCCAACTCAGGACTATCTATGATTCTACGATTTATGCTTGAGAAAAGATGTCAAATGCAGTCAAGAATTGTACAGGATGTCCTTGATCATCAGTTTTCCTTATTACTGTCCACTGTATCACTGTCTCACTGTCTCAGTGTTCCTGCTGAACCATCTGTTATAGACACTTATGAGAGATGAGGGGGTGACTGCTCTGAAACAGCACAGCACACTGCAGATTCCTTATGTTACACAGACAGGAGCTGTGATCCTGAACAAAGGTAACCAGGGGTGGGTTTGGCACTCAAACAGCTGATGTGAAAATCAGGGAGGGCTCAGACATGAAAAGCTGTATGAACATGGTATGCACACACTGCTGTTTTGGTCTAATGTTGCATATGGCATGATAACTTCTGCTTTAATCAAAATCTCCAAAAGCAGCCAAATGCTGATCATTAGCTGATTGGCAACATCTTGCCTCTATCTGAAGGACTGAGCTGCCACAGATGTTTGCCTGAGGAAGCAGAACTCCCTGCTCCTGAAGTGAAGGCTTCCTCACTGTACTTTTATCATCTGCCCATCTTTAGAAAATATCTCACATGTGGCAGACAAAAGCTTATGAAAAACTGTGCTTCTTTTACAGAAAAAAAAATGCGTTTATGAAAAAAAACAATGTCATGTTTTCAAGTAAGGATAAAAAAGAACAAAAAGGATTACATATAGTGCAGTCCACTCCATGGAAATGGCGAAATAGGAAGAAAGAAACCTTGTAATCCTGGGTCACTGAATATGTATCACAGCAGCAACACTGATAAAAGCTCTTGTCCATGAGCTGCAAATGTCCAATAAATGTATTTGTACTTGATCATAACATTAGAACATGTCAGAGGACTTCATTAAAATTGTGGACTTATTTTGTCTTTTGGCAATTTGGTCTCCAAAATCAGAGAGAGGATTTTTGCATAAGATCATATATACTTCCTGAAATACTTCTAATTATAAGGAATAAGGTTTTTTTGGTTTTTTTTTTCATGTTAAATTCATGGCAAACAGCTATAGACACTGCACAAACCCACCAAATTGATAAATAACAGTATTCCTCACCATTTTCTAGAAGTGGCATCATGAGCACAGGGGAGTGCAAGGCACTGGCTTTATGCAAATTTTGACCTAGTGGGGTGCACAGTCTTGGAATGAGAAAATGCATGAGAAGACACTAAGTTTCTTACATACTGGCATGAGGTGAAGCCACCATTTGTAGACAGCTATAGACACCTTTGGGCAAAGAGATGGGGGATCTTTTATCTTTTCAGTGACTTTCCAGATCAAGGAAGTGGCTCAATATCACAGGGTTAGAGAGGGTTGCAAGGAAAATACCATGGTTATGAGCAACATCAGAATCTAATCTGCTCATCATTCAGCAAGGGAAAAAGAGACAATACATCTGTAAGAAGACAGAAGATGATACCTATTCCTTAGGTGTCAACTAGGGATATCAAAGCTGGGGAAAAGAGGATGTTTGCTGTGGTTTCATGAGCAGTACCAGTTAAGAGTGAAATACATATGATTTCATTTGGGAAAAAAACCCATACAAAAAAGCAGATTTTAAAAGCAGATGCATTAGTTAAAACTGGTCAAATCATGCTATTAACCACGTTCAATAGTCCTGTTACCAGCTGAATATTTGACACATTGTGAACCTAAGCTGCAAGTGTGGTGACAACAGAAGTCAATGGGATCAGAAGGGGATTTAGTCAGATTATATCTAAGCCAAGGAATCTCTTGCCTAAACTGAACCTAATAGTCATGGAGTATCCAAATCTCTGAACGGTATTAAGGCAGGAATGGATTTAGTGTGCATGCCTCAACATATTGTCCTTTCACCTTCCTCTGTCTTCAAAAGTATCTCAAATACTTTGGAGATACTTTCATTGTGAATGGATATAGCTCAAAACTATATCCATTCACAATGAAAATAAACAAAATTTAAAGACCTACTTTTACATGGGAAAGATTCAGAACTAGGAATCTCACGAGTCTGAACCTTTAACCTGAAACAGGATAACTATCTTTGTTCTAATGAGTGTCACTGATATATCTACTTGTTCTAAAGCTATTGAGTTACAACCTACCCTTTCACTAAAGATGTTAAGTGCAACAGCCTTTTATATAAATAGGGACTTGAAAAAAACAACACGTCTTGGCAAAAGGCCTTTTCTTATATTTTTAAGGCAAGAGGTAAGAAAAGGAAGCAAAAGAAACAATGTCAGAGGACACACCTGAAACACGGAAAGCATGGAAACTGGAAGGCCTGCCTTTTCAGCTCCTCACTGAGCTGTTCTAAGCAAATAACAAAGATGTCATGTAATTCCTGTACACAGAAGGGGTGCTTTGTAAATTATGAACTAACAAGATGTCACTGAAGACACCAAACTTAAATCATCACTTCTTGGGGTAGACTCAGATCACAGAATCACAGAATCAATTAGGCTGATAAAGACCTCTGAATTATCAAGTCCAACACCATCTTGCCGACTAGACTAAACACCACATCCAGTATTTTCTTAAACACCTCCAGGGACAGGGGCTCCACCACCTTCCCGGGCAGCCCACTCCAGCACCTGGCCACCATTCTTGAGAAAAATCTCTTCCTAATGTCCAATCTAAACCTGTCCTGGTGCAGCTGAGGCCATGCCCTCTTGTCCGGTCGCTAACTGCCTAGGAAAAAAGTCCATCCCCCACCTGGCTGCACCCTCCTTTTAGGTAATTGTAGAGAGCAATAAAATCACCCCTGAGCCTCCTTTTCTCCAGCTGAACTCCCCCAGCTCCCTCAGCTGCTCCTCATCGGACTCGCGCTCCAGACCCTTCCCCAGGTTCGCTGCCCTTCTGGGGACACACTCCAGCACCTCAGTGCCCTCCCTGATGCTAGTGACTCCTTAGGAGGGGGAGTAACTATGCAAAAACTAGTTTGTTTGGGGGTTTTAAAAACCTGTTACCCGTTAGATGCACTGCCTTGCCAGGAGCAGCCACCCTCGCCCGCAAGCAGCTCTGTGACACCCACATACCCGTCAGATTTGGCGGGCGGCTTCGGCTGCGGCGGCGGCTCACAGGTGCCCTCCGGGGCGCTCTGCGTGGCCATGCTGCCGCCGCGACAGCCCGGGCACAGGGGAGCGCTCGCCTACTTGCGGGGCTCTGGACGCGGGGTACCCACCCCGCTGGGGGGGTTCGGACCGGGGAAGCGCCGCCTCGCCGAAGGGCTCGGGGCTCGGGGCGGGCCGGCCGCTGTTGTCGGTTACCGGGGAAACCGCCGGGGAACGGCGCCATGAGGGGCGGGGCCACCCCCGCCACCCGCTCCGGCGCCAGGCTCGGAACGGCCGCGCAGGCGCAGCTGCTGCCGGCACCGCGCGGCGCGGGGGGAGGCGGGGCGGGCCGGGCGGTTGGACTGCGCGTGCGCGCACCTGTGGCAGCGGTAACCCCCGCCCCCGCCGGTACGTGCGCGCGCCGCGCTGAGGGCGCCGGGGGGCGGGGGTGGAACCCGGCCGGGACCAGGGGAATGGGGGTGGAACCCAGCCGGGACCAGGGGAATGGGGGTGGGACACGGCCGGGACCAGGGGAATGGGGGTGGAACCCAGCCGGGACCTAGGGAAAAGGGGTGGAACCCAGCCGGGACCAGGGGAACGGGGGTGGAACCCGGCCGAGACGAGGGGAATGGGGGTGGGACTCAGTCGGGGCAAGGGGAATGGGGCAGGATAGGACAGGACAGGACCGGACAAGGGAGAGCGCAGGTGGCAGCCCGCAGCCCGGGGCAGTGCTGGCCGGGTGGGTGGGTGCCGTGCGGTACGGTCCGTCCCGCTCCCTCCCTCCCTCCCTCCCTCCTCCCATCCGCGCCTTGACTCCTTCAGGGAGCCGCTGCAGGAGCTTGGTGCGGGGGCTGGTCTTGTGTCTATGCAATTAGGAAGGCTCAGTCCAGTTTTCACTAGATCACCTGTCACCCGCAGTGGTTGTTAAAATTGTGGGTCACACCTAAAGATATATCGGTGCTGTCTATGTGGAGCTGAATAGCCAAAGCAAAACGTTACTGGAGGTATGGGTCTAAGCTCTGCCGCAACAACCCCACCCTTTTGGCGTGGAGTTTGTATCTAAAGTGGGGTGGGTGGATCATTTGGCTGTTTCTACTGTTGAAGTTTTGCCAGTAGACAAAAAATAATTTCTAAAAATGGATTGCTTTCAATGCTTGCGGTCTTCTATGTACATGTATTTGTATGGGTGAGTGCAAAACTCAAGTTGATTTTAAACAATACCTATGGCCACAATTCATAAGGCAGCCCAGATGTTACACCCATTATCTGAGTAATGCACACCAACTGACTGCAGCTCAAAGTTAACCTGTAGTGGAGCAGGTTGTGCTTGGTGTGGTTTTCACTCCCTCAGTTCACACACACAATGCTTGAAGTGATTCTTATGTTCAAGAAATAAAGTCACTAAAATCTACTGGTTTTGGGTTTATTTACTCCTGAATATAACTTTTTTACATCATGCAAGTTTAATATAAAGATCTCTTTCTGTCCCTAAAAAAACCATACATATTTTTATATGCACCAGAGCACTTACTATTGCAGTACACTTTTAGAGCAATACTGGATATTACAATTACTCTTTGTAGTTTGTTTTCACTTTTATTAAGGGTTTATAAAGATTTCTAAAACTCTTTTTTATTAAAGATTTATAAAACCCCTATATTGCATCTACACAGGATGATCCCCTTATACTTTACAAAGACTGAAGAAAAAACCTGGATAGCATTATATGCCCATCTCTACTCTGATCTTTGCCTTGTAATTACAGCATATCCTCCAGGTCACAACACTGGGTGCAGACACAAAGATTTACTGTTTGCAAACTCAACTCTGCATAGTAGTGAGCAAATGCTCTTCCCCCTGCCCCCCTCACAGTTTTGGGGAGATTTTGAGTCTTTCCCCTTTTGCTCTAAATATTGCAGACAAATCATGTGCTCCAATTAGTGCTGATATTAGTGTTTATTTCTCTAAGTAAAAAGCACAATGTTGGGAGTCTCTTACTTTGTTGGAAATCCATCCTTCTTAGTTACTTTTTTGTTAGAGAGTCCTCATGATTTCTCTCTGTCTGTATCTTTCTCCTCCTCTTTCCATTCCCAAATTACATTCAATACAATTCCAGTATAGGAGTTCTTCAAAAATCCCTTGCTTGGTTTCCATCCCTTCAGAAGAGATCTCAATGCAACTCATCCAGCCTTGCTGTTGCACAGGACTGTGAGTTATCTGTGTATTTAAGTGAGTCTTGCATTTGCTTTTTTTAAAAACAAAGGATTAAAAATAATCAAAATTTCCTTGGGAGGTGGGACAAATGCATATTTTGGTAACATTTTGATTACAAGAAGGTAACCTAGTTTATTGTTACTTATAAATGTGTAGTTAAAAGCAAGTCTTCTAAAAGAAAAACAAATAGTTTTTTAATTCCTATGAGCAATATTATTTGTGAACAGTATTGTAGTGTTAGGCTTGGATGTCTTTTTTTACCTTGAGGACACGGACTTTTTCATGTTGGGTTTGTCAGTGGAAACAAGCTGGAACTAAGCAGGAGAGGGAAATGAGTCTTACTCTGAAAAATACCTCCTTGGCACTGATGAGGTCATAGCTGGATTTATATTTGATCTCTTGTTCTGAATTTTATATCCTTGAGGGCTTTTTTTAAGATATTTGCTGAAGGACTAGTTACTGTTTGTTTTTTTGTTTTCTTTCTGAAGCAGTTAAGTGGATTGTCAAGTTGGAAAAAAACCCACAATAACTCATCAGAAGATGTTTCACATTTTTCAATATCAGCCTTTAAGACTAATAACCCAAAACAGTCTTTCTAGCATGTGTTTAAAACTCACGTTTTCAAGACCCGTTGCATTTGCACAAATATGGAAGTCATGGTTCTCAAGTCATTCTCTTCTTGGAAAGAAAAATATTATCCTGATGGGACCTCCAGGTGCTGGGAAAACAACGACTGGGAGAATAGTGGGCCAGAAACTGGATTGCCCTGTCATAGACATAGATGATGATGTCCTTGAAACAACCTGGAACATGAGCGTGTCACAAAAACTGCAGGACGTTGGTTATGAGGAATTTCTAGAGGAGGAAGGAAAAGCCCTGTTGAAGTTCTCAGCATCTGGAAGTGTCATTTCCCTTAGTGGATCCAATCCAATGCATGCTGCTGGCATGCAGCACATAAAGAAGAATGGAATAGTTGTGTATCTGGATGTGCCCACATCAGTCATTATGAGCAGGCTGAAATCAAAGCAGATGGATCGCATCGTGGGGCTGTCTCCTGGTGTTTCTCTCAAAGATGTGCTCCAGTTTAGGAAGCAGTTCTACAAAAGGTGGTTTGACATCCGTGTTCTTTGTGGCGGGGATGTTGCTGCAGAGGTCGTGGCAGAAAAGGTACTTGATGCTGTGAAGAGATACCAAGACTCAGAACTGGAAACTTTCATTTCAACAAGGTCTACTAGGTCTGGAAGGAGTACGGAAGAAGACTCTAATAAATTTTATTTCAGTGATGTTGTTATTCAGGGCTTAGCCCTTGATGGGGGACTCTTTGTTCCTGAGAGAGGACTTCCAAAATTCACTGCTGAAGAATGGCAAGGTCTGATAGAAGCAACTTACATTGAAAGAGCCCAGGTGATACTAGAAAGATGCATACATCCTGCTGATATTCCTGCTTCTAGGCTGGCAGAAATTATTGAAACTGCTTATGGAGAAAACTTTAGTTGTTCTAAAGTTGCCCCAGTTAGGCATCTGGCAGGCAATCAGTTCCTTCTTGAGTTATTTCATGGACCAACAGCATCATTTAAAGATTTTGCATTACAGTTGATGCCACATTTATTTGCCTACTGCATTCCCAGAAGCTGCAATTACTTGATTCTGGTAGCTACTTCTGGGGACACAGGGAGTGCTGTTCTGGATGGCTTTAGTCGTCTCCATGACACTGACAAACAGAGAATTGCTTTGATGAATTTTTTTCCTGAGGATGGAGTAAGCCCAATTCAAAAATCACAAATGATTGGCTGTCAGAAGGAAAATGCTTGGTCAGTGGGTGTCAAATCAGATTTTGATTTTTGCCAGACAGCTATAAAGCAAATCTTTACTAATTCTGATTTTACTGGCTTTCTTACGGTAGAATATGGAACAGCTTTAGCTGCAGCAAACTCCATAAACTGGGCACGACTGCTTCCTCAGATAGTTTATCATGCCTCTGCATACCTTGATCTCGTTCATCAGGGTATTATTTCTTTTGGAAGCCCTGTAGATATTTGCATTCCTACGGGAAACTTTGGCAACATCTTAGCTGCTTTCTATGCTAAAATGATGGGAATTCCTATCAGGAAATGTATTTGTGCTTCCAATGAAAACAACGTTTTGACTGAATTCATAAGAACAGGTGTTTATGATTTGAGGGGAAGAAAATTAATTTCCAGTTTTTCACCAGCAGTAGATATTTTGAAGTCCTCCAATCTTGAGCGATACTTACACCTGATTGCTAATGAAGATGGACAACTGGTGACACAATTATTTAATCAGCTGGAAAATCAGGGCCACTTCCAGCTGCAGAAAGATCTACTTGGAAAGCTTCAGCAGGACTTAGTGGCTGGCTGGTGCTCTGATGAGGACTGTCTGGCTGCCATTCACTCTGTGTACAGTACTACAGGATATATTTTGGATACACACACAGCTGTTGCTAAAGTAGTTGCAGATCGATTACAAGATAGAACTTGCCCAATTATTATTTCATCTACAGCTCATTATTCTAAGTTTGCACCTGCTATCTTGAGGGCCTTGAGGATTGCAGAAATAAATCAGAATCCATTAAGTCAGCTTCACTTGCTGAGTTCTTACAGCGCTCTGCCTCCAATCCACTGGGGCCTATTGGAAACCCTGAAAAAGACAGGAAATGGGGATCACCAGGTCTGTGCTGCTGATATGAGTGTGCTGATGTCCCATATAGAAACCTTAATTCAAAATCATTTTATGAAAGTTTTTTGAGCAACTCATCCAAGGAACACAATTGCAATACCTTCTTAGCAAACTGCATGCTTTATGAAAGCCATCATTCATCTGGCCTGTGTCCAGTCCACAGCATATCTCACAGTTTTATATTCAGTTGCCAAGCTTTCAACAGTATTTGTAAGTAACATGTGTGAGATTTCTCGTGGCAGTGAAAGGTTGTGAATCTAGAGTGTAAAAAACTGGAATACCACTTTGCAAATCATACACAGCAGAGATGCCAGCACTGCTGGCTCTCCTTGGCAGTGCTGAGGAATCCTCAATGGAAGGAGACAGATAATAAAGTCTGACCTTTCTGGAACTAATCGCTCTGGTTTTGTTGCAACAATGATGTGAACCTTTGGTCAGTGGATGTTTAATTAAACTTTAACTCATTTCACTTAGGGTACTGAAACATAATGATATAATGGTGTTCATATGTTACTAATGAGGGTTGATTTCACTACAAAGATTAAAATACCCTTGTATTGTTAATCCTTGAAACATTAAATTTTGTGATATATTACCTTCTTGTATAATGTTTTTTATGTATTGTGTTGCCTGTGTCTAAAAATAAAAATCTGGTAATTTTGTTTTTAATGCTTTTTTTCACAAATATTTTCCTGTGTCAAATAGAATACCTAATTAAATATTTTTAATATATTTGAGGTGTGGCTCTTTCTCCAATGTCTTGTAGTCTCTTTCCTAGACATTTTTTATTTGAACTTTCAACTTTAAAATCCTTTTTTAGTTCTATAGAAGAATCTGATAGTGATAACAGCTGTCTTCTTAAATAAGAAACAGACTTCACTATTTATTTAGATATATTTTTTGTATTATGTTTTATCTTGGAGATCATATAGCTTTTCTTGTTCTAATTACTTATGTTTTCATATTTTTCTTAAGTTAATTTCCTTGATGTTCTATTCTATTTGAGCTTTGCATGAATTAATGTAAGAAAGAAGCTTCCCAAATTACTTGGCATCTCATCAAGGAAAGTGAAGGATGAATTCCAGTCTGATAGCATCAGAAGTGTTCATTATGTAACCCAAAATACATCTGTGTGGTTTTGCTAATGACAGGCACTTTGCTGTTTGGGTTTTTTTCTTCTGAAGAAAAATTAGACTGGATTGTCCTAGGAGATCATGTGGTTATGGACAAATGTATTCTACTAATCGAAGATTATATTTCACGAGGACATAAACTACATTTCATACTATGAGAAATAGTAAAATGATGTATTGAAAGGTTTAAGTGGCATGCAGTTAGAGGTAAAGAGCTAAGAGTCTTCAGATGTAAGGACATATAGCTATGGGAAGTTGTGTTTCCCACTAAGATGCAAATAATCTGGTAATTGATAACCTTTTTTTGCCTCTTCAATAGGCAACATGTCCTACATGTCAGGATTCACTTGAGGCTTTGAACTGTTGTCATATCTGACAGCTTCCCCTGTGTGCCTGCTTGTACTTTTTGCCACACTAGAAGTGAACAAGACACCATCTAGCAAACTGTTTGAAAAAATTGTCATTTTTTCCAGCTGAAGGTGAAAGTCCCCAGCACTATGTGCCTTTGCCACAGTGAATATGTATAGAGTGTTATTAAATGTAGCTGAGAACAGGGGTGTGACACAGTAGCTTTCTAGATTCCCCCATTCTTAGATACTTTTTTAGGACCTTTCTAGTTCTTTGCTAAAAGCTTTTTCACTATTTCTGCAGTAACTTTGAAAAATAACTTTTTGTTTTTATGGAATTGTGAACAGGCCAGGTTGGACTGTTCAAAAAGTCCTGAAAAAGTCATCTGGGCCAACCTTTTGCGACAAAGGGAGCCCAGATGAGGTTATCTAGCATCCTCTATGGTTGTGTCTTAAAAACTTCCAGCAATGGAGACTCTCCCACATCCCTGGGGATAATTGTTCCACTGTTCTCACTGTAAAAATTTCTTTCTTATACAAAAATGAACCCTCTCCTGGTGCAACCTTCTCCTCTTCCCCCTGTCATTTCCATATGGCTCCTTGTGAAGAGAGAGCCTCCAATCTCTTCCCAACCCCCACTGAAGTGTTGGACAACTGTGCTGAAGTGCCCACTGAACCTCCTGTTGCATGAAAAGATCTGACTCATTCCATATCCTCATAGGGCAGGAGAATTTTCATCATTTTCCAAATACAACATGGAAAAGACCATGATTATGTAATTTTAAAAAATCCAAGTCCTGTAAGAAAAAGTTACATCAGCATATTGCCAAGAAAGGAGCACTGCTTGTATCAGTGATGAGTGAGCATCCACCTTGTATTTCTGTTTCAATCTGATTCTTACAGTAATTCCAAGTGGCAAAAAAATTAATGCTTTCTCTGGATGTGCTCAGTAGAAAACCAGAATTCTAAACCTTGAAAATAAAAACCCAAAACCAAACAAACCCAACTGCCTGGATTGAATTACTGGGACAGGGCTTGGTTTCAGCATAAGGACTCCGTGGAAATCCTGCAGTACTTGGTTCCATGGGGCTTAATGGAAAAATCACAGGGCTGTTTGTCATAAACTGTTACAATACTTTATAGAAACATCTTCAAAGAGCTTGTTTTTGTAGAAAGTACCTGAAAGGGAAGAGCTGAGATTCTAAACAAGATAAGACTAGAAGCCAGCATCCTACCCTGAGATAACTCAGTGTTAGATAAACTGGTCAGAGCTAAACTAGCAGGAGATTTATTTTGGCATGACTAAATTATTTTAAAGTTCATGGCAGTAGTCCAAGCATGGTTTGAATTTCTGGTTGCTGCTTTCCTATCACACGAGCCATTATAGCAGTCAGTATAAACTAAATAAGTAAAAAAATGAGCACTTGTACTTAAGAAAGGACTTTCAATGGGGACTTAGAGTGTCTAAGGGCAGTGGTTAATGAACACATACATTATTAATACATTTCTCAGAATGCCTAAAGGCTTTTACAATATAGTATTTACTAATTTTAAAAAATAATTAATTTTTGGACTTTCATTAACTTCAGCAAACTATTTTCCTGCACTACATCTGCTTGTGGATCCTAGTAATGAACATTATAAAATGCTGAAGTAGTGTTGTAATCCTGGATGTACACAGTATTTGTGAGCTGGTGCTAATGCTGTGTTCTGGTAGCTGTGGTGTACAATCTTCTGTCCTGCAGGGCCTGCAGAAATGGAAGGGAAAAAAATTTCCAACATTCTCAGAATAGCTGGCTGTGGGTACAGAGGGTAGTGAGGGAAGCAATCCTCCTTTCTTCCTAGCCCAGATTTTCTTAGTGTCAGTGATATACTGTGGCTCAGCAAATCTTGTGCTACTGATATGGTCCTTTTTTTCTCCACTGTCAGTATTATGAAAGATTCAAAAGGCATTAAAGACTGGGCATAAGTGCACTTTTTTTCATCCTGTGTGTTGAGCATGCAGACTGTGCACCCTGGATGCTGTCATACATTATTTCAATTAACTTCTTAAGGCAAAGTAGTGTGCCAATGGTACAGAAAAGCAAATCTATATTGTGCTGGTTAGTAAGATTCCTTAAGCCATTTAGGTTTGCTGTATACACAGTTTGCTCCTATTAGTCTAGCAGAATGTTGCAGTATCAATCAATAAAATCCAGGTTGACAGAGAGTGTGAGCGTGCAGAGCTACACATTTCCACTTGCTTTGTTGACCCAGAGTAAAAGCATTGCTTTAGTTAAGCTGGTATTCTTCTGTATAGATAAATCTTGGCTGAACACTTCCTACTACATGAAAAATCTCAGGGACAAATTTAACAAATGTAAGGAGAGACACAACGTATATATTTACACTTTTTATTATAAGAATATTTATGTGGAAAATACTTTGTTTTGTTTACAGATGTACCAGGTGCTCATTACTTGCCTTTAGTCACAGCCCTTCTTGTCAGGGAGAAGACATGAGGTAAAGGATGAATAGAACATCAGAAGATAATTCTGTTTTCTTAGTATTTTGTGATATAAAAAGAATTGCTATTTACACTTTTGAGGTGATGAAATATTTTATCTGATGGAACTCTAGAGGGAAGATTCTTGTTGTTCAAAAGGTCAGCTTTGCTTTCAAGGACATCAAGAACAATATTGCTATTAAGTGTATCATATTTGGCATACCTGAAATACACATTACTCATTTGTATCCACTGTATTTTTTCCTAAATAAACACTGCAGGATTTATATAGCACTATAGCTCTTTGTTTGCAAATATGTTTGAAAGTTCTTACCAATCTGCTATAAAGAAAATCCACTAAAATAAGTAGTTTCGGAGTTTGATATTTTTAAGTCTTGAAAGATGTGTTTCCTTGAAAGTTGGGGTATAGTTGGTGATAATCTAGTAATTCACTTTGCTGAGACTAAGATTTTAGTGTGATAATGTGCATCATTCTGGAAGGAAAGATGTATAAAAAAGGAAACACAGATCAAATCAGCAAACAGTCTAAAGACTGTTTACATTGCACCACAGACTTGTCCAGTGCTGCATGAAAAGCCTGTATTCTGAGGATTAGTATGGAAAAGGAAATCTCTGATAGTTTGATGTTTTTTATTTATGTTTAGTTCAGTGGAGAGATGAGCTATTTGTCTGTTAGCTGATGTGGAGCAACTTTGGTACACTGCTAACATCATTTCAGGATCATGGGCTTAAAAATTACTTGAGTAGTTGAAACCACAATGAGCAGTTAATGTCAGTGAAGTAATGTGAGTGGGCCATTGATTCTGAACATGTATTAGCAGCTTAAGGAGGATTTAAATGTCACTGTGTTTTCACAGCAGTTACAAATGTGCTCAGCTTGTTTCTTCAGATTTTTTCAGAATGTAGAAATCTAAAAGACAACCGTCTTGGTCTTGCTCTCCAACTTAGAACTAAATCTTTCCAAGATCTCTCAGTGTGGGCCAAGTGTCTCAGTGTGGATCTCTCAGTGTGGACCAAGATCTAAGCTGTTTGCTCAGTTTACTTGAGAAGACTTTATTTCCTGATAAGTGTTTAAGATGCTGTCTGGTCTCCTTCTTGGCAGTATAGGAAAATTATTCAGTAGAATTAAGGTAAGACCTGATTTACTTGCATGTGTCTGATATTTTAAAATTTAACAGCCACTCTGTTTTCCTTGCACAACATAGGAACACATTTTTCATAAAAAGTGTATCTCAAGTTTCACAAAATCAGTTACATAGCACAGGAATTGTTACTCTAGCCTTTTATTTAGATATTTTGTCACTGGTATTTGGAATAGACTTAGATTTTTAAATAGGTCCTTTTATTTTAAAGAGTTATTGTTATAGAAACATGGAGGGTATCACCCCCAGATTTAAAATTCATTATGACAATAATTGAGTCAAGCCTGAAAGAACTCAAAATGTAAATTAGAAAGAAAAGACTGAACAGATTTGTTATGTGAGTTCACACAAGATTTGGCTCTTAACCATGAGTTTATTACGAACATAGGAGGAAATAAAGTAATGACTGTTCAAATCTCCAGATGCCACAAAACTTAAATACTAAGGAGCCACTTAATCAGAGCAAGATTAATTGCTTGGTTAGGAGCTGTAAGCAATTAATCTTGCTCTGATTAAGTGGCTCCTTAGTATTTAAGTTTTCACTCTGGCCTAAAGTAGACCTGTGTTTTTAGGAGAACAGAGGTTTGAGAACATACTTAGCAAGTTGAAATAATTTGTGATAGGAAATGCTGACTTTGAATGGTGTCTGGAGATGATGTGCATTCTCAACTGAGCATGAAATTTCAGCATGCCTTATGGCCAAAAGGACCAGTGAGATCCTGAGGTTAGAAGTGGGAATACTGCCAGGGAAGAAATACTGCTGTCTGTATTTGGCTTTGGTGTAACCTTTTGGAAGAATATTATGCTCAATTTCAATAGTCACAATTTTCAGTAATGCTGGGAAGCTGGACAGAAAAGTCATGAGAGCAATAAAAGTATTAAAAAGAAGCACTGGCATGAGAGACTCAAAAACCAGAATCTGCTTAATTTAGTGAAAGAAGAATCAGCCTAGATGAACCATCTTTGGAAAAAAATTGATAATAAAGAGCTGTTCCACGTAGCAGAGGAAGAGCGATCCAGCAAGTCTATGCAGAAGGACACGTTACAAAAAGAGATAAAAGTACATAACAGAACAGTAAAGGCATCCCTAGTCTGGACATATTAGATGATTTCCTGAAAAATGTGATTTGATAGAAAGAGAACTAATTCAGACAAGTCAGACCCATGTTACAAAAGAGGTGAAACCAAACAATCACAAGTCATGTTTGCTGCCCCAGGAGTAACTTGCCTTTAACAAAAGCATGAACAGCATTTCACAGAGATTTCAGATTTCAGAGATAGAGATTATGAACTAATTTCAGTTCTGCTGTGGTGTGATCAGTACACAGAGCAAAATAGGCTACTGGATATGTTTAGCCTTGTTCTTTCTGTCTCTAGAGAATTGCAAATGGGCTACTAATGCATACCCTGACTTGACTCATGGCTATTAGGATATGGCTCATTAGTTTTAAATTTCATTATACAATACGCCTTGTGATGGTTTGGGCTATATATACTTTCATTATGAAAATGAGGTGAACAGCACAGGAGGAAAGTGTCTGTGTAAATGTCAGCTTTATTGAATGTAGCTAATTATTATTTATTTTCTCAAGCTTTTAAAAGTTGGAGATCTTTTGAAATTTATTAGATGCTTTTGGGGCCCTTTTTTCTCAGTTTTTACAAGCAACCTGCAATCCAATGGCCATTTAAAAT